TCCTGTTGTCAGGCTTTCTATATGAAGAAATCTTTTAGCAGGACATATAAATCTCAAAAGAAACCATAAGTAAACCACAACAGCAACTGCAATGAGAATATGATTCATTTATTGAGCATGTGCATTTTAAACTTTGTATGTTTCTTGGCCATCTTCTGCTAAACAACAATGTGAAATCACTTCAATTTGTGTGGTTTGAGAACTGGACCCTGACAACAACTTATTTATGTTTATGTTTATTTATGGTTTTTGTTGGAGAATTTTACAATCTGTAGTCTCTAGTGGACTCACTGGTTACTATTGGTTCTTTTATTTAGCTGAATTGTTAGTGGATAAGGCAATGGAGTTGGATCATGTGGGTGGTACATTTGGTGGAAATATCAAACCTACACCATTTCTTTGTTTGGTGTTGAAAATGTTACAAATTCAGCCAGAAAAGGAGATTGTAGTGGAGTTTATCAAAAATGAAGATTACAAGTGAGTAAGAAGTCAAGATGAATGAACCACTAAGAACTCAACCACAACTTACTGTAACTTCATAAGTATCTGTTCTCATCTTGACTTTAAGTAAGGGAATATTCTTGTCATGTTGATGTATTATTGTCCATCATACATGCGAAGGTCCCATTTTTGATTATCACTTTTTGTGGATAGAGTTCCAGAGTGCTTGATTAGTGAAAAAGCATACAAAATTAGTATGGATGAGATATGAGAAATGAGGAACATGCCAGAACACATGAACAACAGCAAACCAAGGGCTATCAATGGGGACTGTACACTTTTGACTAAGCAGTATAGCAGTCAAAACATTGGAATCAGTACAATTGATAGCTTAACTCATTAATTTACAAAACCACCATGAGTAACAACATTTTCTATAAGACTGATTTGAAAATTTTTATGTTGAAGACAGTCAAATTTATTTTACACCAACATTACCTAGGTATGTGCGAGCACTGGGGGCCATATACATGAGACTTGTTGGTACATCATTGGATTGTTACAATTACCTGGAACCTTTGTACAATGACTACAGAAAGATCAGAAGGAAAAATAAGATGGGCAGTAAGTTTTTAGCTTGTACTTATATTTGCTTTTAATTTGATTGAGTTATTATTTATGGAAATACTAATAAATACCATTCTCAGGACTGGCATGTACTTATTATACAAACCCTGTCAGTGCACCATGAAATTTTAGGTATACTTGTCTGCATGCTAAGCATTGACATCTATATGGGCTAAACATAAAGGTTGGTAACC